TTTTAAAGATTTTATTGGGGAATTGGGGAAGGGGAACAGCCAAGTTGTTGTCCTTCAGTCTTAGTTGTGGAAGGCTCAGCTAGCTAAGCTCCAAGTCCAGTCGCCATCTGGCTGCCCGTCGGCAGCTCACAGCCACTCAGCTCAAGGTGCCGTGTTCAATCTTAGTTGTGGGTGGGCGTAGCCCCCCATCCCATGCAGGAGTCGAACCAGCAACCTTGTTGTTAGGAGCACATGCTCTCACCAGCTGAGCCATCCTGCTACCTGTTGGCAGCTCAGCTCAGGCGCAGCGTCACTGGCCCATGTGGGAATTGAACCGGAGGCCCTGTTGCTCAGAGCTCACGCTCTTAACCAACTGAGCTACTGGGTGGGCCCAAGTATTTATATTCTTGAACCATCACTGAGTACTAGGGCATGGCTGTTGCTCTTAAACCAGGAATACTGGTGACTTTTGTCCAACCTCATCCCAAGAATTCTGAAGCAAATGAGATAAGAGGACACAGTTGAAGGAAAGATGGAGACAGAGAGCCAACCACCAGACTCATGGTTGGAAAATCCTAACACTAAAGAACCACCAGGGAGTGAAGACTTGCTTTGATACCTTGATTACCAGGAAAACAGCTGCACCATACATCTGAACTCACATACTTGATTGTCTGACCATATATTTGACGATCACAAACCTCCCCCTCCCCCTCATACTCATCTCCAGTCCCGAAGAACTGGAAGGTGGTGGCCATGTCCTCATTCTCCATTACGTCTGTAATTAACAAGCGGCATGTCTGGATCTCTCTCCACTGGCTGTTTATCAATATTATAAGTCTCAAGGGTTCATTTTGGTCTATAATTTGGTAATGGAGCTCAAGGTTACTGCCTCTTGGTACAAGACACAGACAGCCAGGAGGCAAAAGGTATTTATGTAGCCATATGTACTTTTCCAAAATGGAAAGGTTTTTTTTTTATTTGTAAGAGTAAAGAATGTTGTAAAAAGTTAAAAAATATAAAAAGGTTCATATATGTTAAAGATATCCCATTTCCTGTCTTACCCACAATCACATAATCTAAAACCCCAGGGATAATAACTGTTAATATCCTTCCAGGCTTTTTAAATGCGTTATTTCCTTTGTGGAAATGGGACTATGATATGTTGACTTGCTGTTTTGACTTCTGGACACTTTTCCTTCTTAATGATACATATCTAGCTTGCTTTTTTAACAACTGCAAATTAATCCACTACATGGATGTACCTAACTTATCTGCCAATTGACTATTGATGGACAGTTCGATTTTTGTTTTTCATGATGACGACATTCCTACAATAAGCACCCTTACATAACTAGAGAAAGATATATGCATATGTACTTTTGTAAAACAATTTTTAAATGGGGAATAGCTGGGTCAAAGGTAATAATATATATTTAAATTTTTGACAAGCAGCAAAACAAAATGAATACTATGACTTCATTTAGAGTAAAAAATCATGTACGTTGGTACACATGCACAAAGAGTTACAGAACACTGGTTTTCAAGCAGTGTCAGTTTTGCCCTCCAGGCACATTTGAAAATGTCTAGTCATTTTTGGCTGTCACAACTGGGAAGGTGCTAACATCTAGTGGGTAGAAGAAGCCAGGATGATGCAAAACAACGTACAATGGGTAGGACAGCCCCCATCCAACCCCAGGGAAGAATTATCTGGCCCAAGATGTCCAAGTGTGCTCAGGGTGAAAAACCCTGGTTTAGGATTATAAATCGCACTGTCCACAGTAGCTTTCTTTGAAGAGTGGAGGACAATTATTATTTACATTTTTGTACTGTCTG